ACAGATGAAATAAATTCATACAGGTTTGAAACATAACAGTATTTTTTGTTTAATTGTTTTATTAACTATGTAAATAAGGAAACAACTCCTCTTTCTCCTTGTTTGTATCTCTTATGCATTTACAAAATCAGCAGATACACATACAGGTAAAAGGATATGCTAATAAGGCCTTATGTGAAAACATACTGTTTGCTGTCACTGATACCACTGTCAATATCTGAGATGTTGTAAGCGTCTTTGTGTTTATCTGCTGTTTAGTTTAGAAACTGTACAGCCTGTAAACAATAGACATACCAGTCACAGATAACCATCCTCACTAAATGCCACCGTAGCTGGATGTCATCTCACAATGATTAACCTGAATCTTTTGACAGGGAAGCTCTTATCTGTATGGACTAGATGGTTGAGTATAATCTATCAACTGTATTCTTATGAGTACTGTATGAACTGTATTCTCTTTATATTGATGTCTCTGCTCACAATAGGTATGGTTCCAGAATAGGAGGGCTCGCACGCTGAAATGCAAGGGTGGAAAGACGTCGTTGTGGCAATCTGAATCACCATATAGTGCAATGCAGAATTCGCCAGTTCAGCTACACTCTTCTAACAGCAACAACAGTGAGTCTGGTGCAGTTTCTGGGTCTTTATGCACTCCACCACCTGCGTACCCTGATCATATTAAGGAAGAAATGGAAAGGGATGGACTTTATGGCTTGATGTCTCTGCTCACAATAGGTATGGTTCCAGAATAGGAGGGCTCGCACGCTGAAATGCAAGGGTGGAAAGACGTTGTTGTGGCAATCTGAATCACCATATAGTGCAATGCAGAATTCGCCAGTTCAGCTACACTCTTCTAACAGCAACAACAGTGAGTCTGGTGCAGTTTCTGGGTCTTTATGCACTCCACCACCTGCGTACCCTGATCATATTAAGGAAGAAATGGAAAGGGATGGACTTTATGGATGTGACACTCCATCTTCCATGTCTGTCGCTGATGATTCTGGCTACTGCACCCCTTCATACGGACACCATCAGCCCAGAGCCATGAACTCTCACTGCAGCCCATCTCTACTAAGCCCAGCACATCAGATTCCTCCTAACTGGGCTGCGAGGTATGACAGGAGGTCATCTATGAGCTCCATGTGGAGTCCCTATCATCTTGATGCCTATGGCTGCAATCCCAGCTCCATCCATGGCTTCTTTTACTCTCCATCTGAAAAACACAACAGCCTTCAGCCGCTGACCCCTGTTACACCAGACTTGGGCTGCTGGGAGGGTGGTTTGGAGGACACTCCTCCAGCTTCCAGTTCTTTCTGTGTAGACAACCCAGAAGTTCAGAGGATGGAGGGTCAACAGGAAAGCGGGATTCACCATGGGCCTCTGCCTGAGCTGCCAGCCTTGTCCATACAGGAGATCCTGGGAGAGCTGCAAGGAGACTGGTGGCAGAGTGAAGGACTAAATAGCCACTCGTCTGAGGACAACCATGTGTATGGCTGAATTTTGCTGTGTGTCATCTATTTATTAATATTTATTCAATGTATGTGTATTGACTAAGGACATGGCTGAACAATAATTTATTATTTATCTGATCTGAAAGTAACAACATGAGAGATTTCAGATGCTTTCAGATTAATTTAATGAGCTTCGATCTTATTTATCTTCATTGTTGTTATTTATTTAATGATCGTTGTAAAAGTATAATAATGCGGCTGTGTGCATATTTTTTACAGACATCTTTACTGACTTCATTTAATTGCTGCACTTGCATTTAAATTAAATGTTTTCTCTATATGTTCTCTCAAATGTCAGAATTTTGTGCAATTTTTCTACATATGTTGCTATTGTTATTTCTGTGTTTTACTTTAATTAATGGATGACCTCCATGCCAGAAAACATTGATAATCATCAAACTAGATTCTGAGTAATGTTGTACAACACAACGTTTCTGTCATCCATGAGGTGAAATATTTCTGCTTGATACTATTGCCTTTCTGTTCTGTATCAAATATTTGCACTACCATTCAAGACATTGGGGTTGGTAGGATTTTTTTATTTTTTATTTATTGATTTGATCAAAAATACACTAAATATTATTTTTACATGTAATATTGAAATGTAAACGAAATGAAAATGTAATACTGAATTTTTATAATATTGAATATTTGTAATCTGAATTTTCAGCATCATTACTCCAGTCTTTAGTGTCATATGATCCTTCAGAAATCATTCTAATATGCTGATTTGCTGCTCAAGAAACATTTATATTATTATCAATGTCGAAAACAATTGTGCTGCTTAATATTTTTCTGGAAGCGGTTGCATTAAAAAAAAAAAAATTCTTTGATGAATAGAAAGTTTAGGATTTATTTGAAATAGAAACATTTGTAGCAACATAAAAGTCAATACTATTACTTTTGATCAATTTAACCCCTTCGAACCCTGCGTCCATTGAAATGGACATCAAATGATTTTTTGTTTAAACCAATAAAATGTTATGTTTTCATAATATGAGCAATGCCTGATCACTGATTGGTCCCTGATCAACCGATCACAATGAAGATATGACTCCTAACTTAATCTGATTGAGCTACAGGCATCACAAAAGAGAGACATGACTAACCAACTAGACAAGAAGAGGAGGACGTCCTCATTTGACCTTTTATATGCAGATTTATGTTTATGGTAGCCTCATCAACTTGCACCTATTATAAAATTAAGACTATCAAATTATAATATTCAAAGTTATTTAGAAGATCTTTCAGAGTTGCAGAACACAGGATTTAAAAAAAAAGTAATATCCATCGCAATGGACTTTAGGTCTTGAAAGATATCAGCAGCACCTCATGAATCAGTTGTATAACGGGTTGAGAAATTTGTGGAAGCATTTCAAAGCTAAATACAGAGCTACAAATTCTAATGTTAATGTTTTATAAACATTGATGTTAATTAATGAAATTATGATTATAATATAATTTCATTTGTGCCATCAAAGTGACCATAGCCTGTCAATCAACTTTTCATTGGTTTTAGTGAGAAACAGCCATAGTGGATGTGAGATCAGTGAATATACTGCAACACACACACTCGCACCCCCTCCACACACACTGATGCCTTGATGCTATAATGCACACAATCATATATTCATCAAAACAATCAACAAAACCCATTCACATACACACAAAGACATTTATACATATACTCAGATTCACCCACTTCAACCAACAAAAAGGATCAAACAGGTTTTTTTGTATCATCTTACCTTTTTTTCCCCACATTCTTACTGCATTGTTCATTCTGTGTTATTTTCAAAATCTTAAACACTAGTTCAACTATAGTGCACAAGCTCTACTTATGTATGGTTAAAATATGGGGATTTTTATTTTTCTTCAGTCCTGGTGTCCATTATAGTGGACATGAAAAAAAATCTAATAAAAAAAATTAGTTGGCACAAATCTTGATTTTTAGACTTATTTCTATATTGGAGAAGAGCAAATATCAAGTGGATAAAAAAAAAATTTTTCAGTGAAAAAAATGGAGGTCTGAAGGGGTAATGTGTGCCTGCAGAATAAAATAATGAATTTCTTATAAAAAAAGAAAGCAAGAAAGAAAGATATCTGAACTGTATCAATGCTCTGTGCTTCCACCTACTGTCCTCAGTGTCATTTTCTGCCAGGATATTATCCATTCATTTTATGGACATTTCTGTTACCTTAAAACACAATGTAATGCTGTGCAAATGTCAAAATACAGGTAAAACACTTGTAAAAAATCAATACGGAAATTTCCTTCATTATAAATCAATACATTGTGCCCTATTTTTAAGTTTTTAGTTTTCAGTGAAGTTTTTAAGTTTTTTTTTACAGTGCTAATTATTCTAACACCCTAACTGTACACACATGAATGCAAAGAAAAAAACTATCATGCAAAATATGTAAATTAGAGATCCAGAAGGAGGATAATCTATGCAATCTCTCTCTCGCTTTCTCTCTGTGTATATATATATATATATATATATATATATATATATATATATATATATATATATATATATATATGTAAATATGTAAATTTTATATTTTCATATATCATTTTGTAATTATGTTTGAAAGTAATTTGTGCTGAAATAATTTTCAATATTTATATATACTATTTTAATATTTATTATATATCAGAATTTATTGTAAATTACATTTTCTCTTGTATTTCTGTGTAGATTGCATTTTAATAATAATTTATTATTTTATTCTGTTTTTTTTAGCATAAAGGTATGTGTAAATACCTCATGAACCCTTAGTTTGGGGTCTACAAAGAAGTTTGTAAAATTTAGCTCGAATGAAAGGTACATTTTATCTTTAACAATATATATTTTTTCTGTTTAAGTCAGCAAGTGCTTGCTTAAAAAACCTTTTAGGAAGGTTTTTATTTCTTTCTGTAAATGCAGACCAAATGTGAACTACAGACCTCTGGCCTGTATTACTGGCAGCAAAATATGTGGTAAACTGTGAATTTTGTAATTAAACTCTTGTGCAACTGACTCATCCTGAGGATGTGATGTAATTTGGTTGACATATAGGCCTAACACTTCTGCACATCTACATGCCATTTCTGCTTCTGTTACAATATGTGATAAAGGTCTCTCTGGATGTTTTACTTTGGTAATCTCACATGTTCTTTTCCGTTATGCTACAGAAAAAGATGCACTATTACAGATATGAAAATGCAGAGTGTTTGATATTACCAAAAAATTTAGTCACATAAACTGCATAACTAACTACATACACCACTGTTAAAAGTTTGGGCCAGTGTATTATATATACTGAATACAGTATAATATATATTATTATTTATAAAATTAGCAAATAGATTTCTGAGGGATCGTGTGACATTGAACACTGAAGTAAAGTAAAGACTGCTGAAAATTCAGATTTCTTTCAAAGTCATTAAAAAAACGTAACTTTTGAATGGTAGACAGCATTTAACTGCAAAAAACACCGTGAGTTATGTAGCTGTGAATGTGTTTTAGTGGCTTAGGGAAAAACAATCAGTGTAAATTGTTTGTTCCCACAGGGTGTTTTATCAGATCTGACACAAGTTACACGTCTACATGGTTTTGACCCAGTTTGGGGGGTGCTTGTTGTGGGCACAGTCACTTTCATTTTGGGATTTGCTGGGTGTGTTGGAGCTCTCAGGGAAAACATCTGCCTCCTTAAGTTTGTAAGTACTCATACTTTAAATGTGATACTGAAGCCATCACATATGCTGGTCAGTTCAAAATTAAGAATTTTATGTGGCATGCCTTGCAGTACCGGATCGGTACAAGATCAAAACTTTATGAAGTGTTAATGAAATTAGTTCCCAGTCATGAAAATGAACAAATTCTATTTATACTGTCAAATGATGCTCTTTGATTTTTCACCTTGCTTATTGACCTTGTCTTGCAGTTTGCTGGAGTCATTGGCTTCATCTTCTTCCTGGAGTTGACGGCTGCGGTGTTGGCGTTTGTGTTCCAGGGCCAAGTTAGGGAGTGGATCAGTGATTTCTTCTTGGCTAATGTGAAGGCCTACAGGGAAGACATTGACCTGCAGAACCTGATCGACTCTCTCCAGAAACTGGTAAATCTGAGAGAGTTTTTAAATATATACAAATTTTCATTAAATAAAATGAATGCTTTCTATTTACTCTACTTGCCAACCACATAATATATTATATGTGAAATGGTTTCCATTAAAAAACAAAGTGTATGTTTCTCTTCTTGCTTTTCCATGTCTTTTCGCAAATTCTTGCTTAAATAATTAATCAATGTTTAATTAACTAGCATTATTTACCCTGAACGAAACTGTAGATACTTATGACTGCTAGAGCAGTTTTGGAGCTGGTACTGGACGCAACGTTTTTTGTTTTCTCAAATAAATGTTTTACATTTTTCAAAATGTAAATTATTTTTGGTGTAAATTGGAGGATTTTGATGAAGCATATGGCTTAATGCTTGTTAAAGTCTGGTAAAAGGTGGCCATGAGAAATTTCATCGCTAATACGTATGCACAATTGTGACTTTTGCTAAACTGTTGCAGATCCTGAACGTATGTTTTTTTTCTTCAAAGAATCATTGCTGTGGAGCTAAAGACCCCAACGACTGGAATCTAAATGTGTATTTTAACTGCTCAGAGAGTAACCCCAGCAGAGAGAAATGTGGAGTGCCGTTTTCCTGCTGCATCAGCGACCCTGCTGTAGGTTATTCTCTTATTCACAGCAGCCCTCCACAGAAAGAAAGAGATCTTTTCAGCATGTTGCTCTGTCATAAAAAATGCTGTTTAAAAGAACCCATTGTGCTTTAAAGTCGAAGGCCAAGCATGTGGAAGACTCCCTCCGCTTGTGGTGGCCTTGTACTCACTGCCTGTATGTGAGAGTGAGAGTGAGGAACTGATGACAGAATTTACATTTTCCCATGAACTATCCTTTTAACATGCCGATTCAATTTCCAAATTTATTTTTTCTGGAAACTGAAATAGTTTATACTGACCCTAAAGCTTTGTCTCCTACGCATAGGTTATGACTTGCTTTGGTTTAAATTACTTAATGCATGGATTGTTTTCACCATTGTAAATGACTTTACAGTGAATATAGGCCTACGAACCTATGACTTTTCTTTACAGGATACAGTGGTGAACACGCAGTGTGGATATGATGTTAGAGCGTCTGGCACACCGGTGAGTGCATTTTGAACAGTTGTACTAGAGAGACAGGTATTTCATTATTTGCGGTTGTTGACTGAAGTTCTGCTTCAGTACAAATGTAAAAGTTGTTGAGTGAGTTCTTTCTTCAGAAAGTGGAGTAAATTAAAACACTTGTCAGCAGCTGTGTACCAGAAAATGTAGTAAAAGTTTTTGAAATTAAAGTCAAGTTTCCAAGGTTCAGTTTCTCTGATGGCAGCACTTATATCTGTCACTTTTGAAAATTGCATTTTCAAATGGGGCGTGTGTACAGTTGTTCTGTTCTTCTGCTCTCCACTCGTAGTTCTCTTTTTGTACTCTATTGGTAGTAAGGAAATTGCATTTGGGAGAGCAGAATACCTGCAGAGAATAAACCTGTACATTATAATGTGACACACAGAGCACTTGCTGCATTGTAGATATAATAAAAGGGTCTTTAATTAATTGGATAACATTTACAGTCACTTATTTGTGAAATATAACACACACTGTTTTTATTTTTCAGTCTGTATGGAGCAACACCATTTATGTCAAAGGATGCATGATTGCTTTGGAGGAGTGGCTTCCACGCAATCTCTACATTGTGGCTGGAGTCTTCATAGTAATATCATTGCTACAGGTATGGGATGTACTTGAGAAACAAAATTTCCTGAATGGAAAATATATTTTACAGCTAGATGTCACTTATTTTTCGCAGAGCAACCAAAAAGCAATACCACTTTCACATTCTGCACTAATTATGATATAATCATTAGAATGAAGTTATAGGTCCTGGAAAGAAAGTACCCATCTGCATTTCTACAGTATGTGTCTTTAAAGGGGTCATATGATGCAATTTCAATTTTTCCTTTCTCTTTGGAGTGTTACAAGCTCTTGGAGCATAAAGAAGATCTGTAAAGTTGCAAAGACTAAAGTCTCAAATCCAAAGAGATATTCTTTATAAAATTTAAGAGTCAGCCACGCCTACCTAAAATGACTCGTTCAACTGGATACTGGCCAATCACAGCACACCTTGCTTTTCAGACTGATGAGCTTTGTAAAAATCGACACGTTTCAGAAAGGCTGGGCATTGAGGAGAAACAATAATGTACAGTATGTGGAAAATAATGTGTTTTTTTAACCTTAAACCACATAAACGCATTTCATTACACCAAATACACAAAATAATGTTCTTTTTAGCAACATCATATGACCCCTTTAAAACTCAGTTTTGAAGTTAATCTCAATGTAATGTTGTGTCTTGTCATTTTACTTTTAGATGGTGGGAATCTTCTTGGCAAGGACGTTGATTGGAGACATTGAAAAAGTAAAGTTTAATTATTACTGAGCTCACATTACTGAAAGGGAGACGTGCACCTCCTGTTATTCTTTTGCATCTCATTTTGTGGAGAAGAGGACTCTGGACCATTCACTGGACCACCTTTTCAGAATTTCTATAAACCACATGTTGAATATGCAGCTGCCTAAGTTTACCTGGATATTGTCACATGTGTGCCTTGTCTCTTCAAGTTTACCTCCGGCCCACTCCCTATTTTTAGTAGAATTTTTTTTTCAAATCTTTTTTTTTTATAGGACTACCATTAACCAAACATTTGTATTTTTGGGACCACTATTAACCAAGCTGGGTGTACATAGTGCCAACATAACCTGAAATGTAATTGTAATGATGAGAAGTCGTCAACCAAACTTTGATTCCTAAAATGTATCTATATGGTCTTGTTGCACACACTCCAAAATCGTATGTGCACACTTTTCTTTTAGGGAACTAAATTAAGAATTAGTACAAAAGCACAAACTAGAACAATTAGGATGTTTTTAGAAGCATGTTTATTTTTCCTTAGATAAAAACCTGCAAAATTAAGATAAAAAAAACAAAAAAAAACGGATTGACCGTTTTTTTGTACTCTTATAGTAAAACCTGTAATGAAAGAATTTTTTAAAATGTAGTTTTAACTACAGTAAATGCATATCCTTAAAGTTTGTTGAATTGTATTTGTAACTTAATATTTTTGCAGACAGAAGTTCTGCATTTAATGTCAACTTCAAAGAGTGCAGAAGAAAAATATCAGGATCTGACCCTAACTACTCGCATGTAAATGGAACATAATCGAGAATGCATTTGGGTAGAAATCAAATGCCAGTGAGTCTAAAAGAGAAGTGAGCTAATCGATTTGGTCCTACATGATGGAGGTAAGAGGTGTCAGTTTGTGATATGTATTTTACCATAAGCAGCTCACATACGCAATTATGTGTCCATTCTGTTAACTGAATGTCTTGCATTTAAGGGTCACTGAAGTTTGATGGTAGGCACCATATGGCTTATAATATTCTGATGTCAACATTGCCTTGAGATGCCAACATTTACCTCCTTTTTTCTACTGTTACTTGGTGTCTTTATGCAAAAATGCAGATTGTGCCTTTTCTCTGGCATTGAATATTTCATCAAATGTATTGTACAGTGTTTAGCTGGATAGAATAAAACCCATGATTAACCTTTTTTATGGGTGTTAAAAAAAAAGTACTTTTTTTTGTTGGTATTTTCAATTGAAAATCTAAATGCAATTACAGCACAAATTACTTAAAATATGTAATATTAACAATATAACATTAACATGTCTTCACACTTGAATTAGCCAAAACACAATATGCATTCTGACATAAATGCAAACACCTTTTCTATAGCCCAAAGACTTCTTTTCTCAGTTCTATCATATAATTGTATATGACCTCTGAAATTCTCATCAATGCAAAAAGGAAATTATTTAAGAAAAGAAAGCATTTAGTTAATCTTTTTAATTCAGAGTGCACTATTTTGTCCCTTTTTTGGAGTGTCTGTCTGTGCCACTGTGTAATGTTAAAGCTCAATTGAGTATTTACTAAAATGCAGTACAGTTTCCCTGATCTTGCTACAAGAGCCTCCTTTTTTTGTGAAGGGATGTTTTTTGTGTTGGATTTAGATGTCATTTATTGTTGAATATTCGTTATCTTTGTAAATATTTCCTGAATTCTTTTCATAATTTTTATATTCAATAATAAAAAAAAAAAGAGTTTGACATTATCAGCAACGTTGTAATTTGTCTTCTAAAGGAAATATGCTGGTTGATGAAGTTCATACCAGCTTTGAGCTGATATGTATTATGCTGAAAATGTTGACATTGCATATTTAATCCAGATCCCATTCATATTTAAATGTAGCTATTTAAACTTAGTTGCCAATTAACTTTCTTTTAAAGCATCTCATCATCACTTTGCACAGCACGTCACGCATACAGACAACTTAGTGAGAGAATTTTCAGCAGTCATTATTGTACAAGAAGCATTTTTTAACATTATCAAAGTTAAAAATAGTTGTACTATTTTATGGCAGCCATGATCATTTTCAGGGTTCTTTAATGAACAGAAAGAACTCAAACAGTATTTATTTGAAATATAATTTTCTGGTTTATTTTAAATCAAATCTATCAAAATGTAATAACCTTCCCTCTTCAGAAACATCTTTACTTGGTGACTGACAATTTTTTGTAATGCCCACTTTCACAATCTGATCCTGTCCTACATTTTGTATTAGTTAAATATCCTATTTTACCATATCATGGAAGTAATGCACCATATCGTGGAAGTAAAATGTTTTGCAAATATCTTTTCACTCTGATATTTACAAAATCATTTTACAGATTCATTGTCTTCATAAAAAAAACTATTAAAATAATTAAGTATTATTTTGTTGCATAATGCAAGTGTTGTAGAAGTATGGGGAAATTACTGTAGTAATTAAAAGCAGGAACCCCCAGGGCTCTATTAGAAATTTGTAGCTTTAATCTTGGTTTGACTTGGGCAGGGAAGCAGGGACAAAAACAACCTAAACAATGTAGCATAAAACAGGCTTTTAAAATTCTAACTTTGCTCTGGGTTATGACATCAGATCTCTAGACTATCAAGTCAGAAAGGCCCACTTCTTGAGAAAACCTGCAGTGCAGTACATTTGCCACAACCCTTGTGTGACTTTTCAGTCCATATAAGCATGTCTCTTATTATTAAGGTTGGCATTTTATTATTAGGTGGCATTTTCCTATTCAAAGTGACTTACAGCACACTAATTACAAGCACAATCATCCTGGAGAAACCTGGAGTGTCTTTCTCAATGGTGATAAAGCAGAACTGGGATCTCGGTAACTTTGCCATTTCACGGTCACCTCTACATTAGATTGAACACCTTTGACAGCCTGTCCTAATAAAAAGTCCCATTATGGCCTTTTCTAGCAGGGCAGATGGGGTGGGAACATACTGCGAACAAATAAAAAAGACCATTGACCATCTGTAGGGTGATGTGCACATATTTTTCTGGGTCAGAAGTATAGAAGATCTGATTTCTCTCAGTGGAAGATACAGAACAACTCCTCATGGAAAAAGCTACAGTACAACTAAAGGATGGACTGAGGAAACAGTCTTTTCCTGTTGTTAAATCAGACCTTCCTTAGTCACACTTTCTTTTGATGCATCGTTTCAGTGCTCACACTGGTTCTTATTTAGCTTTTTGCATTACATCCTATTTTAAAGAACAGAAAACAAAAATTTTATTTTCAGATACATTTATGCATGCGCTACGAGCATACAAGCAATGAATGCATTAATAATTACAGAAAAGAGCAGAAAATGGAACACTAATGGCTTTTCATCTGCTAAAACCATGGATCCATGCAAAACACAGTATGATGTTCCTTTACATCAGGCTAGTTTGCGTCTACACATCTGCACATAATTAGTATGATCTATTTAATATATTTTACAATGTCTAAAATCAGATCTTTACATATTTTCCTTAAAAATCAGCCCAGGAAATGCAAAAAAGCCTCTAAGTTGTACACATATTTTACCAAGTTTAAAACCGGAATTCTTCATATTTTCATAAAAAATCAGCACAGAAAATGCTAAATTGTCATAAAGGTCTAAATATTTCTACATTAGTATAATCTGCTTCATTTAACACATGGGGAAGTCGTGGCCCAAAGGTTGTGGGTTCGAGTCTCGTACCAGCAGGGATTGTAGGTGGGGGAAGTGAATGTACAGCGCTCTCTTCCACCTTCAATACCACGACTGAGGTGCCCTTGAGCAAGGCACCGAACCCCCAACTGCTCCCCGGGCGCTGCAGCATAAATGGCTGCCCACTGCTCCGGGTGTGTGTTCACAGTGTGTATGTTCACTGCTGTGTGTGTGCACTTTGGATGGGTAAATGCAGAGCACTAATTCCGAGTATGGGGGTCACCATACTTGGCCACATGTCACGTCTAAAACTAAACATTTTACCATGTTAAAAACCAGAATTCTACATATTTTCCCAAAAAATTAGCTCAGAAAAAAAAAGTCTTTCCGTTGAGGCCTGATCATAAGGCACTATAACTCAGAAGCAGAACATGAGGACCAGAAGTCTTGTTTATTTTTGACCGTGTTCTTTGAAATGCAGCGAACACCATGCTACATTATAGCTGCCCTGCAGAGATCCGTCTTTGAAGTCTTTAGCGTGTGAGGAGTCATGGGAAAATCCCTCCGAAGTCCGCAGAGGGCCCAGTCCGCTTGCAGGCCTCCAGCAGCAGCTCTTTCCCTGTAGTTGTGATGACTTCCTCCTGGGAATCGACAGATCTTGACATTATTCAGTGTACTGTGCATTCTAATAGAACGAGTACAAGATTTTGACTTATGCTAAAAGAGAGCATGCTATGTGTCATTTGATCTATTTTACATATTCAAACATGTGTCAAATGTGACCTGAAATAGTTTCCAGCGCTGCTGTGTAAATCAGAGTTGCTTTTTTATTCAATCGGTGATTGTCATTGAATTTTTCTATCTGAGCTAAACCTGTTGTAATTTTCATATATATGTATACAGGTTCTCTACAGTGTTTTTTTAATTTATTTTTTACCATATTGCAGAGGCGTGAAGCGGGAATGCTTGTTGACAGTTGTACAATGTCGCTTGCATTTGCATGTAACTAATGTCAGAGATTTCACAGCTTGTGACTCCAACTTTGACAGCATTCCAGACAGAGAAATGCGTATCCATGGTTACACAGGCTATGCTGAATGCATATGTGGCTTGTGGAGATACCAAGGCAAGCTCTCAGTTATTGAAAGTTGCTTTAGTGCAGACTACATTACAGTGTTTGACTCAGTGATCAGCACTGACTCCTCATCCCTTCCTCAAATGTTGTGATGCTACAGCACTTTTAGACATTCAGAGATTTTAAAAGTGACTACACTTTAATCCTGCACATGCTGTCATGTATCTGGGCATCATCAGGGCTTCTCCACAGTAAAAACATTCTTCTGGAGAATGATGAAAACTTACATCTGAAGCTACAAGCACTAAATGGCTGCACAGAAATAAATTGTTAATTTCCAAACAGCTGAAGGCATAGCCCACTGGCAAAGGCAGTGCCATCATTTATTTACTCCAAAATACATGTCCAAAACATAATTATGTTTTTCATCGCCGGCAAATAAGATAAGACGGTGTGCAAGTTTGTTTCATTTGATTGTAACTAACAAATGGCTTCAAGTCCTTTCGGGTCAGATTTAATGTAGTTTTAAAAAACATACACGCGCAAGAAAAAGGTAGAATGATATAGTCAATTGTTTCTATTATTGGCATGATTAGCCAAATCTAAAACTTATAGAAATGATTAACACAAATTATGCACTTCGTATTTAATAATGACTATATTACACATTTAATAGATTGAAAAAACATCAAAACATTTGTAATTGGTTTCTCTATTTTGACCAGCAGGTGTCACCAGGGTGGGGTTTTTCAAGAGCTGCGAAAAAGTGATTTTATTTTTTATTTTTTGTGAAGCAAATGGTTGAGTTAGCCTGACCGATTCATGAAAAAAAGAACATACTCAAAATAATTCAAGAATCATCGCAAATTGTGATTCTAATAAAATGACAGACAAAATGGGACGCACTGAAATATTATGAAGAGAATGTTTCTCAGGTCAGTATGCGACAGTGTCCATCGTTAGATAAAGATTTGTTAGTTTGCCGAACAAACTGGGGCTCATGCTAAGGTCTGAAGGGGCACAGTTGTGACACTAAAATGATTTGATAAATCAACGCCATCTAAAAGACTATGAAGCGCACTATGAATTTACTTTGACTTATGGGTTTACCGGCCTTGTATGGAGTCATGCTTTTGTTGTATTTTTACTTTTTTGAAGCTTGACATTCCTTGACCCTCATCTGGCCAATTTCATTGAATGGAAAAAATCAGTCTGAACATGCACCGCAGAAGAAAGTCATATGGGCTTGGAAGTTGGAACAACATTTTGGTGTGTACACTCTTAAAAAATAAAGGTGCTTCACGATGCCATAGAAGAACCTTTTTGTCTAAATGGTTCCAGAATGCTTGACATTCCTTGACCCTCATCTGGCCAAATTCATTGAATGGAAAAAATCAGTCTGAACATGCACCGCAGAAGAAAGTCATATGGGCTTGGAAGTTGGAACAACATTTTGGTGTGTACACTCTTAAAAATAAAGGTGCTTCACGATGCCATAGAAGAACCTTTTTGTCTAAATGGTTCCAGAAAGAACCTTTAACATCTGAAGAACCTTTCTGTTTCACAAAAGTTTCTTTGTGGCGAAAGAAGGTTCTTCAGATTACAAAAAGGTAAGAAAGAGATGGTTCTTTAAAGAACCTTTGACTGAATGGTTCTTTGTGGAACCAAAAATGGTTCTTCTATGGCATCACTTGAAGAACCTTTTGAAGCACCTTTATTTTTAAGAGTGTAAATGATCACAGAATTTTGAGAGAATGGTAGTAGGAAATAATGTGAAAAAGGCACAAACTTGTGCCACCTGCATGAAAATCAACATTAACCCTATTTTCTAAATATATGTTACTGGCCTTACAGTGAATGATTCATATCAACTCTTTTAAATGTATTTTGGTTAGTGTAGAGAAATGTTTTTATCTTTTGCATTCTTGAGGTAAAAATCCTTTTACCCGTATGTTACACACTATTCTGCTCTCTTACTTTGTGGAAGTCAATGAGGTCAGCAA